GCCGCCCCTCCCCGCCTGCCTGGACTGCGCGGCACACCCTGGAAGGCCGGGCCCAGCTCGCCCGAGCCCGGCCGCAACGGCGCGGAAGTCAGCCCGCCAAGCCGCCCCGCTCCGGCCCGGGCCGCTACTGCTGCGCGCGCCGGACACATTTCTGTGACACACAATCAGCGTGGCCCAGCCCGGGAGCAGCCTGCCTCGGACGCTCGGGCGCCGGGAGGCTTCGCTGGAGGAGCTGAGCAAAAGAAATGAACAAAAAGGACTTTCTGCTGGAGGAGGAGCAGCCGCCTGTCGAACCCTGGGGGAACACTTTACCCCCTGCACCTGCCAGACTGACCCCGCCTTCCGGGTGTGCCTTACCCTTGAAGGTGGGATGGGGCCATGTGGATCCGGCTCTGGGGACGGCGTTTGGGGCGACAGGGCTTACAAGGTTGGGATCCAAGACAAGCAGACGCCAACTGAGTTCTTCCACCTGGACTGTCCAGTTCTCCAGGGTCTGGGCACCTCCTACCACGTGACTCTAACTCTCGGCCCCACCTCGCCCCTACCTCAGCATCTCTTTCACCTGCTGGCTTCTCCCTTTGCCCATGCCACGACGCCCTGTGTCTCTTGTCCCTAGCACGCTGCCCCATCGGGGGCCCCCGCAGGAACAATTTCCACAGGCTTCAAGCACTAGTCCACCTGAGCAGTCACTTCCTGCTGCCTGCCTTGTAAACGCCCAACCTGCGGGCTGTAAGAGCCAGTCCTGGGAGCTGACGTCCGTTCGAGCTGTCTCGAGGTGGAAAAGGGAGACTGCCCGCTACACTACCCCCACCCCCAGCCTTCCCTCGCGGGCAGGAACTGAACAGAATCCACACTTATTTAATAGGATGGTCTTTGCAAAAGGAACAAAACAAAAACCCATCAGGCTGCTTTGTAGAAAGACGGTGTGTGTCGTGCGAAGGCAACCCCCTGTGTACATAACCCCCTCCCCCGCCCCGCCCGGTCCCGTTGAGTCCCTGTTGCCCGCTGGCCCTGCCTGTAGATACTCCCTGCTGTCCGTGCTGTGAGAGTCACCGCTCGCTGGGGGGAGGGGGGGACACAGCTACACGCCCACTGAAGCACAGCACGTCCTGGGGGGGGGGCATTTTTTTTTTACGTTACAAAAAATTATGAAAGAAATCTCTATGCAAAATGACGAACATGGTCCCGTGGACTCCTCTCGCCTCTGTTTTGTTGGCTGTTTCTCTGTAATTCCGTGTTTCCGCTCTCACCTCCCTGCAGCTCCCCTTCTTCATCTCCCTCTTCTCTGCTGCTCTCCCCTTCTACGTCTCTTTCTCTGCCTCACTTGTCTCTGTCTCGGCCCTGGTCGTCCTGCCCCAGCCCTCTCAAGGCTACATCGGAGGTAGCAGTTCCAACCTCAGGGCTGGCCACGAGTGCCCTGGCCGGGCCGCCCCGCCCCGCCCTGTAGTTGCTCTCTCAGTAGCGGCGATGCTCCCTGCATGTCTCCTCACCCGTGGATCGTGACGACTCGAAATAACGGAAACAAAGTCAATAAAAGTGAAAAACAAATAAATAAAAATCCTTGAACAAATCTGAAAAGGCTTGGAGTCCTCGCCCAGATTTCTCTCCCCTTGGAGACCTTTTTATTTGAAAAGGAAAGCTAGGGAAAAAAAAAAAAAGGGAACTGCGGCGCTCAGCCCAGCTCCAGTAGCTGGAGCCAGGCAGTGAGCGTGCTGAGGTCCTAACTCCGAGGCCCGGCCCATCCCAGTCCTTGTGTGGGGCAGGCGGTGGTCCAGGAGCTCCGGATCCAGGCGTAACCTTAGAAAGGTCCTCCGACCGTTCTGGGCTCCTTGGCCACTTTCTAACGCGTCGGTTTGTTTTGATTCTTTTTTTTTTCTTTTTTTTTTTGTGCACATGATAAATAAATAAATAAATAAATAAATGAATAATAATAATAATAATAATAAAATTTTGTATGTCACTCCCCATGGCTCCAGGTTTGTCTCTCCCTGTCTCTGGGATGGGCCTCTCCTCGCACCGGTGTGTCTCCTCAATAATTCTGCAAATGATTCAACTCCATTCCCAATGCCACCCCTTCCTAATCCCTGGCCAAGACTCCCTAGGGTGGCAGCTGAGTTCTGGTAATGGCCAGGTGAAGCCTGCGGCTCATCCCGTCCCTAACCCCACTCACCCAATCCTCTGGCCAAGGAGTTTTCGCTTTCGAGAAGTTCAGAGTAACTTCCACTTTGCGCAGCCACACTACATCAGCCTTCCTCTGCTGTGCCCCAGCACCTACACCTAGGGTGCAGGCTCCAGAACCGGAGAGGTCTGAAGCCTCCTCGGGGAGGGGGTGGCCTATGGTCTGGGCTCTCTGTTTCCCAGTGGGCTCAGCAGCGCCGCAATTTTATTAAGAGACCAGGGAGGCCGCAGATCCAGGCAAGGAAGTCTCTTCTAGCTTTTACTTCTGGACCCCAAGCTGGCTCACGGGACCTCGAGCGCCCCCTGTGTGGCAGAATCGCCTCCCCCCCCAGGCTGATACACACGTCGCCGCTGAGTATTAGGGTCTGGGTGTACCGGGGAAAGGAAGCGCTTAGGCGCCCTCAGCAAATGTGGGCCGGTAGATCTGTCGCTTCCTGCATATGAACGGATTTCTTTTCTTCCGTGTGAACCTATACATCCTACAGGGGGTCTGGCAATACAGAAGAAAACTGCTGGTCTTTTAAAACACCCTTGCACTGAGGCTCAGGTGGGAGTAAAGGCCCTATGTGCCTTCTGTCCTTGTGTCTGTAAGCAGGAAGGAATGTCATGATTGTCCACAATTGTTCTTCAGATACTTAGAAAAGTCCCCTGTCCATCTCTTCAGCATCCTACCAGTTCTAGCCCTCTGCCTCCTGCCAAGACAGAGGTGCAAGCTTTCACCTGTTCTTTATCCTGGGACACTTTCCTCCTCAAACCTAGGAATTTCCCTAGCTAAGCTTCCTTCTCATCCTCCTTTGAAAGGTTGTTGAAGCTCTAAGCTTCCAGGAATGGCTGGAGGATTGCAAACAGGGTCTGGAAACAGACTAAGCAGTGAACTTCCCCTTGGCCAGGGTTTTCCAGATCCATCTTTCCCAGCAGGATGCCAGTGACCTTTCTTTTCCCAAGCCAGTTTCCCCAGACTTATCCATATCATGCCATTAGGGGATACACAGGACCTCCAACAAACCAGGAAACCTCAACCTCTTCCCCTCTCCCTCCTCATCCATGATCTCCTACCTAGTCTCAGAAAATGGCAATCCTACCTCATCTTATCTAGTCCTTCCCTTCTTGGCCTCAGTCTCCTAAAAGAACGGTCATTTTTTTTTTTTTTTTTTTTTTTGGTCTTTTTGAGACAGGGTCTCCTTATAGCCTCAGCTGTCCTGGAACTCACTATGTAGACCAGGCTGGCCTCCAACTCACAAAGATCTGCCTGCCTCTGCCTCCCAAGTGCTGGGATTAAAGGCGTGTGCCACCACGCCCAGCCTGTCTTATCTGCAAAAGAACTCTGAATGTGCACTCCCACTCTGTCCACTTACTTACACCTGTAACTGTGTTAGTACTCCGTGAATGAAACTGGAATACACAGAAATGAAGTTCCAATGGGCTCTTTTCCCCACTCCTAAATGGATTATTTTGCACCCCTTAGAAGATGTGCGCTCCCTTTTGGAGTGCCTACTCAAGACTTTCAAAAAGTCAGCAAAAAACTCCTGCCTATTATCTGATGCCCAGGGAGGAAGTTTGTGAAAGCTGGCAGACAACAGGTTTAATGAGATGCTGCTGCCCTCACCTGATGTAGCAGGCACGCAGCCCTGGATGCCTGTCTTTTCGTCAGGTAACCTGGGACAGAGGACCTTTCCTACCCACCATCAAGCTGGAAGCCAGAGACATTTTTGAGGATCCCCTCAGAATCTCTTCTCTTCTAATCTACTTCTGGTCTCCCTCCCACTGAAATGGACAGCAGGAGTCACCCTGTTTACAGTGGACACCTCTGAGCAAAGCATTTATGCTGTGTCCTTCCTAGGGTGTTGGTTTTAGTTCAGAATCAGTCTGAGGGCCCCACACATGCTTTGGAGTCCTCACCAGTTGCCTAATCTAACTGCAGCCCTTTCATCCATCTAAACATTAATGGGGTCTGATTTCTATCTTCAATTCACTTTCCTCAGAATTCCTTGTACTGGTCCTGTCCCTGCTTTATTTGCACAGCATTCCCAAGCAAGACAACCAGATATGATAGTTTGATGTAGGAAAAAGTGTGTCCCAGGTTGGAGAAAAAAAGGCATGAAGATGTGAAACTGTACTAGAATGGTTGAAATAGCAGGTGTCTGGGAGAGACCAGGAAGGGATGGCAGATGAAGTTTAATAATAGTTGATAGCCAAGACATTGTGGTGGGAATGTCAAAATGGCACCTGCTGGGGCTGGAGAGATGGCTCAGCTGTTAAGGACATTTGCTGTTCTTCCAGAGGATCAGGGTTCAATGCCCAGCACTTACATGGTAGCTAGCAACTATCCATAACTTCAGTTCCAAGAGATCTGACACCCTCTTCTGGCCTCTGTGGGCTTTGCACATCATGGGTGCAAGCAAAACACTCATACACATAAAATTAAAAAATAATAATAAATAAAAAATATATATATTTTGGTCTTTTTTGAGACAGGGTCTCCCTGTAGCCCCAGCTGTCCTGGAACTCGCTATGTAGACCAGGCTGGCCTTGAACTCACAGAGATCTGCATGCCTCTGCCTCCCGAGTACTGGGATTAAAGGCATGCGCCACCACACCTGGCTATAAATAAAATATTTTTAAATGACACCTGCCAATAAAAGAAGCTGCCCCACCCACAGTCACATCTCATTCGTTAGGTAGCATATTTATACTAGCAATTC